TGAACCATTAGATGCACTGATTACTTTTCCTTTCCAATGAAAGAGCCACAGAGGGGCGCCTGGGTGGCTCAGTGGGTTAATCCTCTGCCTTCAGCTCAGGTCATGATCCCAAGGTCCTGGGATCGAGCCCCACATCGAGCTCTCTGCTCAGCGGGAAGCCTGCTTCCTCCTCTCTCTCTGCCTGCCTCTCTGCCTACTTGTGATCTCTCTGTCAAATAAATAAATAAAATCTTAAAAAAAAAAAAAAGAAAGAGCCACAGAAATAATATTTTAGGCTTTGCATGCCATATAGTCTCTGTCATAATTATAGTAGTCCCCCCGCTTATCCACAGGGTTATGTTTCAAGACCCTCTGTGGATGCATGAAACTGTAGATAGCACTAAATCCTATATATACACTATGTTTTTCCCTTTACGTACATAACTATGACAAAGATTAATTTATAAATTAGGCACAGTAAGAGATTAACAACAATAATAAAATAAGCTATGTGAATGTGCTCTCTCAAAAAATACTATATTCACCCTTCTAGTGATAAGATGACAAAAGGTCTATGCAATGAGATTAAGAGCTGTGAATGACGTAGGCATCATGACAGAGCCACAGGCTACTATGGATCTTATGAGGAAAAGTTAGAAGGAGCATCAGCTGCTTCCTGACTGCACTGAAACCACCAAAAGAGAAACCGAGGACAAGAGGGGACTACTGTACTTCACTTTGCTCTTGCAGCATGAAAGCTGCCATAGATCTACAAATACAGGTGGTGAGCAAGTCAGATTTGCCTTGGGGGTTATAGCCTATGAATCCCTGAAGCAAATAAAAGAACGGCACAAAAGCATATGAACAAATACTCAACATACTGATCATCAGGATATGATAACTAAAACCTCAGTGAGTTATCAGGACATACTCCCTAGAATAACAAAAACTGAAAAGACTACCCAAACCAACTGCTGGCAGATATGTGGAGAATGTTTATATACCACTGATGGGAATGTAAAGTTATACAATCATTATGAAAGTGGTTTGGTTGTTCCTCAAAAAGTTAAACATGACTCACCAATCCCATTCTTGGGTATTTTCCCAAGAAAAGAAGAACACGTCTACATAGAGTTGCTTTACTCATAAGAAGCAAAAAAAATGGTAAAAAAACAAAACAAAACAAAAAACAAAACAAAAAAAAGCCCCAAACAACCAAATGTCCACTAAGTGGCATATAGATAAAAAATCATGGAATATCCATACAGTGGAACAGACCTCTGCAAAAGGGAACTACTGATACACAAAATAGTATGGATGAATCTCTAAAATTGGCTTTGTTCACTTACTCTTTTAATATCTATTAACCTGGGTGAGGGGACAATTTGTGTTTACTATATGGTTATTTATATATCTTATATATAGAAGATACTGTTTTGCATATCTCTGAAAATTTTTAAAAAGTTAAGTGAAATAAAATGTATAGTATCTAACATATGGTAGATAGACATACAATAAATGTTGATAAGAAAATGATCAGAGCGTCGCCTGGGTGGCTCAGTCGTTAAGTGTCTGCCTTCAGCTCAGGTCATGATACCAGGCTCCTGGGATGGAGCCTTGCATAGGGCTTCCTGCTCAGCAGGAAGCCTACTTCTCTCTCTCCCACTCCCCCTGCTCGTGTTCTCTCTCTCACTATGTCTCTGTCAAATAAATAAAATCTTTTAAAATTTTTAAAAAAATGATCAGAATGAAAGTCTTCAATTTTATCTCAAAATGTTCCTCCTCTTTGCCTTCCTCCATCCCAACATATGTAACCCTAGTAACTGTGTTTATGGTAGAAACTCATTCTTATTTAGTTCTCTTCATGATCTTATTGGCTCAATTATCCTCTTATTTTCAATTTCTTCACTTGCTTCTCTTTGGTCTACAAACAAATCAGGTCTCTTATTTTCTAAAAAGGAGTCAGCAAACTTATTCTGTCAAGGGGCAGAGAATAAATATTTTAGGCTTTATTTATGGCATATTTTTCTTCTTTAAATGATCTCTTAAGGGGCACCTAAGGGATCAGTCCATTAAGTCTCTGCCTTTGGCTCAGGTCATGATCTTAGGGTCCTGGGATTGAGCCCTGAGTAGGGCTCCCTGCTCAGTGGGTAGTGTAGCTTTTTCTCTTCCTTTTGCCACCCCCCACCCCCCGCTCACTGGTGCACCACACGCTCCCTTGTCTCTCTCTCTCTCAAATAAATAAAATCTTAAAAAAAAAATTTAATGACCTTCTCAAAATGTAAAAACCATGTTTAGTTAGAAGGCCACAAATGGAGCACCAGGCAAAGTGTGTCAATCCCTGTTCTAAAATAGTACCAAAAAACTTCTGAATTCTACTACTCACTATCAGTGTGTCCTCTCAAATTCAAGTAAATTTGGCATGTTGCCATCACATGCCTAAACACAATGTTAAGTGTTTCCATATTTTTTTCATCTCATTTAATCCCTGCAACAACACTGTGAGGTAAAAGTTTTAGTACTTTTTTTTTTTACAAAATAAAATACGGAAGCTCAGAGTGGACAAGTGAACATCAGAACTTTTGTAACCATTTCTGTTCTGGTTTCTCCACTGTCCATAACTGTTTGTCCATGTCCAAACTCTAGTGCTATTTCCATTAGATCACACCACCCCTCCCTCCTTTCACTGACACTTATTTGGGAAATAGAACTCTCTAATTACTACTTATTTCCTTATTCCATAATCTTTTAAAATCTGACTTTTGCCTCCAATGCTCTATACAATTTTCTAACAAGCCCAATAACATTTAAATAAAAAAAACACACACATAATTTTATCAACTGATACTTAAATATGAAAAAAAAAATGATCCAGCCACTTTAGAAAACAATGACAATTCCTCAAAGTTAAACATACTTACCCTATGACTGCAATTCTATTCCCAGGTATATATGAAGAGAAATGAAAATGTGTTCACGAAAAAACTTATATATGAATGTTCACAGAACTACCATTATTCATAGCAGTCAAGTGGAAAAAATCCAAATGTCTATCAACTGAAGAATGGATCAATATGTGGTCTATCCATATAAGGGAATATTATCCAGCCATAAGAAGAATGAAGTACTGAGATATGCCACAATGAAGATGAACCTTGAAAACATTATGCTGTGTGAAAGAAGCCAGCTACAAAAGGCTACATAATATGTTATTTCACTTACATGAACTGTCCAGAATATGCAAATATAGAGACTGAAGTTAAATTAGCGGTTGCCAGGGACTAGGGAAGGGTGAAACAGGGAATGACTGCTAATAGCCACAGTACTCCTTTTTGGGGAGATAAAAAGTTCTGGAATTAAATAGTAGTGATGGTTATAAAATCCTGTGAATGTATTAAAAACCAGTAAATTGTATACTTTAAAGGGTGAGTTTTATGACATATAAACTATGTCTCAATTTTAAAAATAGGAAAAAAACTACCTAGAAGCCTATACTCCCAACTGTTTTCAACTTTATTTTTTCCCAATCATTGATTATGTAGTTAATTTTAATTCTCTTTAGTCATCAATCCAAAATCCATTTTATCCATGCAGCTACATAATCATAACTAGGTAATTTTGTTTTTATGGAAACAAAACACTCCACTAATAGACTATAATTTTAATATTACTAAATAATTTATTTTCATTTTTTTAATATTAAAAGTGTATTTCTGTAACTAGACCTAGGCAGACAGTTTCCCTATTTTTACAGTATTTCCTTAAGATAAGTTCCTAAGAGTAGAATTACCAGCTCTTGAAACAGAATGCCAAACTGTTTTGTAGATCGCGTGGGAATTTTTATTACTGTCAGAAAAGTAGGAGTAAACCAGACTCCACCATGAAGTTACGAACATAAGGAGTCACCTTTTAAATTTAATATATATAAAAATATGGTAAATACAAAAAGAAAAAATTGTTGCAGTCTTTCATTCAGATGGAATTATTTCTGGACTCTATTCTGTTCCGCCAATGTGATTATGTGTTTGTAGTTTTTTCTTCTTTTTAAATAATCTCTGCACCCAATGGTGGGGCTCCAACTTAGGAACCTAAGGTCAAGAGTCACATGCTCTTCTGACTGAGCCAGCCATTCCTGTGCTTGTCGTTTTATAAGAGGTTCTTATATCCGGTAATGCTGTATATGTTTTCTCCTATTTTTTAAACTATTTTCTTATATATTTGTCTAAATTCCTATATTTTAGAATACATCTGACAAAGCATAAAACTCATGAAATTTCTAAGCAATTTGAATACTCAGAGCTTTCTAAGAAGCACTCTCAAAGAGTGTCCCTCAAAAAGGATCCTTCTATGTTCTTCCCCAACATCCTGTACATACACGTTGCAGTATGCACCTAGTATACACCTATCAGTCTGCATTCTACCTGTTATTCTTTTATTTCCTCCTACGTGACTTTGGAAAACTACATGAAAAAATCATTTCTTATCTCTTTATCCTTAGTGGCACATAATAATGTACAAAAAAAAAGGAAGGCTGAATCAATGAATGAAGACACCAAAGATACCACTTACATGAGTCAAACAAGCAATTAATGCTTGACACTATGTTAGGAACTGTAGGAAAAACACAGAAAGTAGAAAACACTGTCCTGCCTCCTAGGGAATCTAGATACTAGAAAGAAGGGAAGTTAAAGGGAGACTACTAAAACATAATTTTAGAGATTGTGTAGGATTATAACTGAACGATAATTATATAATCAATGTTATAAATTTAATAGAATACAGAGAAGATGAATGCAGTAGGATCTGTGAAAGACTTGGCCCTTGAGATGCGCAGTAAAGCACTAAGAGGATTTGGATAAGTAAGATACATTATAGTCTTTGGGTAAAAACATGAACAAAGGCATGAAGTGGGAATTAGCATGATATATGGGAGTCATGTACCTATCTATTCTACAAACAGACTCAACTACTGGTGCTGTAAAAGTTTTAGTCTACGCAGAAAATAATTAAAATATTTTTACCTGGAGTTCTCCAAGTTTCTTGGATGTTGGTGAAACAATGGTAAAAAATCCACTGATGTGATGGGTTGGAGAAAGCTGGGCTAGTCCACTGATCTGAACTCTACCAATTGGAAGATGGTCAATTTTGGTGATTACTTCCAGCACCAGCACAGCCATATCTAATCAGAAACAATTACAACATACACAGATATTTTTCATTTATTTTCTTTTCCTTTTTTTTTTTTTTTAAATGGGCAGAGGGGCTTACATCAGGAAGTAAACATCAACATGTTTACTTTAAAAAAATATATTTTATTTTCAAATAAAACACTACCTACCACATCAGTCTGGGGCTGGGCAAGAGTGAACCCATTATCAAAAGAATAAAGTTTTAGGGAAGAATGAAAAATACCTCACACAGAGAAAAAAAGATTACATTGATGTAATTAGCAATGATTACAGAGTGTGAGGAAGGCTTGTGTGTGGCTTGGCTATTAAAGAGTGAAGTTCTCTCAACTTCCTTTTCAGTGTTTTGCTGTTTTGATATAAAAGAACCCAACTGTTTCTGCTTGCTGCAGCCTGCCTAGTCTACAGGGATGGGAGGGGTTCATCACCTGAAGCCTGGTGATAGCTTACTTGGGATTGGGGCCCAATGTTGGCTTTGCCAGGCTGGCCACCAGGCTGCTTCCTCATGGCTTCCAGAACGATGCACTTATTTTCTTGCACATGAAACATGCATACAAAAGAGTACGTAAAAGAATAATAAACCAAATACCTACCACATAGCTTAAGAAATAGTTATATTTTCCCCAAATTTACAGTTAGAGCATACATCTTGTGAAATAATGTTTGATCTCTTGTGTCTTCATTTTCTAATAAACACATCATATTCATGTCCACAGCTGGGCCTCACTTACAAGGTTCACCTCATCCATCTCCTATTCAAATCCTACCTTCTACAAAGCTTCTTTCCTAAATAGATTTATAAAATGTGAATACTGACCCATTTGGTGGTTAACCCCTTCATTTTAACAACGGGAAAATAAAGACCCAGGAAGATGAAATGGCTTACTCAAATTCAAGCAGCCAGTTAGTGCACAACACAAGGAGGATTCTCTGGGGCACCTGGCTCAAATGGTAAACATCTATCTGCCTTTGGCTCTGGTCATGATCCTGGTGTTCTCAGATCAAGCCCTGCAGCGGGATCTCTGCTCAGTGGTTCTGGTTCTCTTTCTCCCTCTGCCCCTATCCCCCTGCTCATGCTCTCTCTCTGTACCTCTGTCTCAAATAAATAAATAAAATCTTAAAAAAAAAAACAAAAAACAAAAACAAAAACAAAAAACACCAAAGATGAAACATCAAAAAAAAAAAAAAAGGAAGTAGGAGTCTAGTTTCCTAAGAACCTATGATAAACTTGGCTCTTAATAACTTCCTGGAATATTCATATGATATTTACTATATGTGCCAAGTAATCAGACATTTAATTACTTACTGTCTGGCACCACTTACTACTATTTCATACATATAAGTTTTGTTTTTTTCAACTAATCTGTAAGTTCCTTTTGATCAGATACTGCATCTACAGTTTCTTTATTCCCCACACTGCCCAAGACTTTATATTTTTACAAGATTCACACCTACGGTGTGCCAGGTAGTGGACCAATCACTTCACACAACTTTTTTCATTGAATCTTCTCAACAATTCCTACCGCTAGTGTTATTATCCCCCATTTAACTAACAGGAAACCGAGGTTCCAAGATCTTAAGGAACATCTCAGCAGCACACAGCCACCCAATTCTGAAGCCAGAGTTCCAATTCAAGACTGACTTCAAAGCCCATGTTCTTCTCATTCAACCAAGCTGCTTCTTCATGAAAAAGCAAGGTGAAAGGGCAGCAATCTAATGCCATTTTACAGATGAGAAAAAAGGGGAGTCAGAAATGGGGAGGGACTTTCCCCAAATCCTGCAGCTGATAACATCAATCTCAAGTTCAAATACATTCTTTATTATATCACAAGATGCTCAAATAAATGTCTGATTTGTTGATCATATTAATAAATATCTTCTGTCTTACTGAAGAATTTTTATTTACTCTTCATTTGTTAAATTAGGTTCATAGTATCCAGAGTATCTATGGGTATCCTGTAATTGTAATTATCACTTCCTACTTAGTATTTTAACTAAACTTCTCTGTGAATTTAGTTAGAATTAGATACCATTCTGATTAAATTGGTTCATTTTTCTAATTCCCCACAGTGCCTACAGCACAATGACTATGAAATGCTAAGTGCTCAGTATGTATCTTTTGAGAGACTGAATTTTTTGTTCTTTTTGAGGTTTTCAAAATTTAAGGTTTCAAAATAAAGGTTAAACTGTCCTTAAGAAGGTTATATAACCTTCTTAAGGACAGTTTAACCTTTATTTCAACTCTGATTCTCTAATAGTTTTAGACCAACAATGTTTACATGCTACTTAATTTTTACTGACTTGAACTGGATTGATTTGATAAATAACCCCACCATCCAAAATGTGTTTATGCAAAAACCTGACCCACATAGAGAAATACAGTACATTTAGAATGCTTTCCTTGAATAGAAATGAAGAAATCTTGACTCCTGGTTATCCTGTAAATGGATCCTTCCCTGCTCTGAAAACCAATATTACTAATCCACTAACCCATTCATTTAGCATGTGTTATCTTGCACTATTAGTAAAGTTTATATACATACGTACTATATGTAATGTGTATATATATGTATATATACACATTATACAAAAATTATATATCATACATTATATATTATGTATGAATTCTAACACATATATACTTTTACATATACTTTTATTTTTATATATAAAAATATACATATTTACATAGATATATATTATATAACATATATATATATTCTTTCCTTGAGCATAATATAAGTCCCAGAGCAGAGACTACAGTTATTTCTTAAAGCAGCATGGTGTGGTCAAAGTGTGTGAGTTTTGGTGTCTGACAGAAATTGGTTCAAATCCAACTTTTGCCATTTCTCAACTATATAACTTTAAAGAGTATTCATTTTATTTCTGAACCTGTTTCATTGCCTCTAAAACAGAAAACGTCTTTCTTGCAGGGTTATTATTAGAAATAATATGCATCAACTGCTGGTAGAGAGTATACTCTCAATAAAAGGGCTATTATAAAACTTCTTTCACTCAATAGATACTATGTACACAATAACACCCACTGCTAACAACATAATACATGTTTATTAGGCCTGGAGGTAAAATGATAAGACAGAAACATACCAGTTAGATAAGAGGTAAACTGCTTTGGACCACAGCGAACAGCATAACGGGTAGTTGTTCTCACAGCTTTAGGTTCAGTCTGCAATGCGTCCCTAGGACAAAATAGGGTTCCATCTGATGTTTCTCCCCACCATCTCACTCGGACAAGTACACAAGTGGGAGGCTTTGCAATCTTCCATATGACTTTATTGACAGTAAGTTTCAGAAAGCAGCGTAGCTGGCCTTCAACAAGAGGTGGTAGGCTTGTAGACGGAGAAATGTCACTCAAACCTGTGGAGAAATCCAAAAACACTAAGTCAAACTTTAAACTAAAGACAGAAAAATAATCCGCTTTTTGAATAAGAACGCATTTTCGTCTCTACAGAGAGATGTTTTCTCTTATGTATTCTAATACATGAGAAGCAAATAGCAAAGCGGACCATATAATAACCTACTTGGTCACTTAAGTGACCTTGATAACTAATTAGTATTCAGGGTCTGATTCAGGTTATTCTAGGAACATAATACCAACTTAAGATGCTAAGACAAATTCCTCTTTAACTGAAAGATATCATTTCATGCACATTAAAACGATAAAACCTTATACTGTTGGAATGGCTAGAATTAAAAAGACAAGAAATAACAAGTATTGGCAAGGATGTGGAGAAAAAAGAACCCTCAGGCACCACTGGTGGGAATGTAAACTGATGCAGCTACTGTGGAGAACAGTAAGAATGTTCCTTAAAAAATTAAAAATATGGAGATGCAACGTGGGAGGTTTGGGGGGTAGGAAAAGAATAAATGAAACAAGATGGGACCGGGAGAGAGACAAACCATAAGAGACCCTTAATCTCACAAAACAAACAGGGTTGCCGGGGGGAGGTGGGTAGGGAGAGGGTGGTAAGGTTATGGACATTGGGGAGGGTATGTGCTATGGTGAGTGCTGTGAAGTGTGTAAACTTGGCGATTCAAAGACCTGTACGTCTGGGGCTAATAATACATTATATATTAATTTAAAAATTAAAAAAATTAAAAATCACCCCATTGATGAAAAATTAAGAATCACCCTATGATCCAATAATCTCCACTACTGGGTACTTACCCAAAGAACAAAAAACACTAATTAGAAGAGATATATGCACTCCTACGTTTATTGCAGCAGTATTTACAGTAGCCATGATGTGGAAGTAACCCACTGATAGATAAATGGATAAAAGAGATATGGTATATGTACAAAATGGGATATTACTCAGCCATAAAAAAAGAACGAGATCTTGCCTTTCAAACAACATGGATGGACCTAGAGGGTATTATGCTAGGTGAAGTAAGTCAGACTGAGAAAGACAAATATCATATGAGTTCACTTACATGTGGAACCTAAACAAACAAAAAGTAGAAACAGACCCAAAAATATAAGGAAAAACTGATGGTTGCCAGAGGGGAGAGGAGCAGGAGGACGGGCAAAATAGATGAAGGGGAGTGGGAGATACAGGCTTCCAGTTATGGAATGAATAAGTCATGGGAATAAAACGTACAACATAAGGAATATAGTCAATGGTATTGTAATAGTGTTGTACGGGGACAGACAGTAGTTACACTTGTGGTGAGCGTAGTATAACATATAGATTTCTGGAATCACGATGTTGTACACCTGGAACTAACATAACATTGCATGTCAACTATACTTCAATTTAAAAAGATACCATTTCAAAAATATAAGCATAACAATAGAGTACATAGGTTTTTAAAAATCTCAGAAGTAGTTTAAATTTTTCTTCCAAGTAGTGTTGTTCTTTTATTATTGCAATGTCCAGGTTTTAAGATATGTTATCTTTACCTCCTACTTTAAAACCATCACCAAACATGAAACAGCAATGACTCCCTTCACTCAATGCTCAAATGATTAAGTCTATAGCATATGACTCAGCATTCCAATAAAGACCACCTTAAATTATGTATTTTCTTTCCTGCCAACATCATTCAGTCAATGAAAACAGACACCATCATCTTCCGATTCTGCCACCATTTTTTAGTACAGTACTGGGCTCAAAATATTTATTGGCTTTTGTAATATTTATTGGATTTCAGACAGATAATAAATGTAAACAAGGCATTTAATCATGACTTTCTTTCTTCCTTTTTTTTTTTTTAAAGATTTTATTTATTTATTTGACAGAGAGAGAGAGATCACAAGGAGGCAGAGAGGCAGGCAGAGGGGGAGGGGGAAGAAGGCTCCCCACCTAGCAGAGAGCCCGATGTGGTGCTTGATCCCACAACCCTGGGATCATGACCCGAGCCGAAGGCAGAGGCCCAACCCACTGAGCCACCCAGGTGCCCCAATCATGACTTTCTATAAAACTTTCCTTTAATGACCCAGACTATCTTCCACTTATAGTTATCTCCTAATCATGACTTAGAGGAGATTTAAGAAACTATATATATGAATATGAATATTATTCACTCATATAAAAGAATGAAATCTTGCCCTTTGCAACAACATGGCTGGAGCTAGAGCGTATAATGCTAAGTGAAATAAATCAGAGGACGACAAATACCATATGATTTCACTCATGTGGAATTTAAGAAACAAAACAAATGAACAAAGGAAAAAAAAGAGACAAACCAAGAAATAGACTCTTAACTATAGAGAACAAGCTGATGGTTACCAGGAGAGAGGCTGGGGGTTGGGTTGGGTGAAATAGGTGATGGGGATTAAAGTGCACACTTATGATGAGCACTGAGTAATGCATAGAATTGTTGAATCACCATACTGTACACCTAAAATTAATATAACACTATATGTTAGCTATACTGGAATTAAAAAAAAAAAAAGGAAACCATTCCTATATTACACACATCTTTCTATTACTCTTACTTTTCCCTTGGAGAGTGGTCATGCTCAACAGCAAGAAAATACATTGGAGTACATCAGATCAGGAGATCTATATACTTCAGTCTTTAGATTTGTAAAGCAAACACCTTCTCTGCTCTCTATAGTTCAAGATGACCCACCATAATCTTTATGGATAGCTAGTTTTGATGTGAAAATAATACAGAGGTGTGTATATGAGCATTACAGCAAACATATATATATGTGTGTATATATATATACACATATATATATATATATATATGTATCACACACACAGATATATACACACATGGTACAGCAAGAAGGAAATTCTTATGTTATTTCTATTTTTATTTTCCTCCTATAAACCAAATATGCTTGACTGGTTTGGCATAGGGAGCACCAGCATTGAACATACCCATGCTTCCATTTCATATCCTCCCATCATTCCTGGCCGGAAAGGTACTGCCTCAAAACTGCCTTAATTATCTTTAAATGGCTTGGATAAGATTCACTTCCAGACTGTAGATTCTGTCTCAATCCAATGACCTAATGTACTATCACTATTCTTAATACCAATCTACCTGTAATGTAAAAAGGCAAAGTCACACAAAGTTAGTTTGTTTGTTGTTTGGAGGCAGCCCTATAAAGATTTAATTTCCAGTTTCCTGATCTGTCCTGGGTTACCAGGGCGACTGTTCTCTCTGCAGCTAACATTTCCCTGCTCTTCTGGAGAGCCTGTTTCTCCTTAAGCCTACTATTCTGATAAGGTCCTCTTGCTACACACTCTCTCATCCTCTCAAATCCTTCAGAGATCCTCATGCCTTCACCCCCACTCCAACACTACCACACCCTGTCACTCCCCACTCTTTCTTCCTCTCTCCTCAACTATCTTTCCCAACTCCTGCCTGTAGCCCTTCATTCTTCATGATTGTCTTATGTTTGACTCATTCATCCACTTACCGACTCCTGCTTTATGCTAGTTCTTGGGGTTTCAGTAATGTATAAAATAAGATCCTTGACTATTATAATTATTGACATACCACCTTTCCAACTTATGTGTCTTCCAGTCCATGTGGAACTCCACAAAGGTATACCTTCCTACACACAAACACACATTTGTTATCAAAAACACCTCAGGGACGCCTGGGTGGCTCAGTATGTTAAGCGTGCCTTCAGCTGGGGTCATGATCCCAGGGTCTTGGGATGGACGCTGCATCAGTCTTCTTGCTCAGCCAGGAGCCTGCTTCTTCCTCTGCCTGTCCACCCCAGACCCCGGTACTCTCAGACTCTCCTTCCTCTCTCTGGTAAATAAATAATCTTTAAAGCAAACAAACAGTCCTAAGTCATAGAGATGTAATGTACCGCAGAGTGACTATAGTTACTGATGTACTGTATATTTGAAACTTGCTAAAAGAGAGCACCTGGGTGCCTCAGTTGATTAAGCGACTGCCTTCAGCTCAGGTTATGATCCTAGGGTCTCAAGATTGAGTCCCTCAGCAGGGAGCCTACTTCTCCCTCTCACCCTCCTCCTCTCCTGGTCTCTCTGTCTCATAAATAAATAAAATCTTAAACAAAAATTGCTAGAAGAGTCTTAACAATTTTCATGAGGGGCACCTGGGTGGCTCAGTTAAGAATCCGCCTTGGGCTCAGGTCATGATCTTGACAGTACGGGGATTGAGTCCCGCAATGTGCTCCCTCCTCAGCGGAGAGCCTGCTTCTCCCTCTGCCTCTCTCTCGCTGTCTCTGGTGAATAAATAAATAAAACCTTTAAAAAAATTTTTCATGACAAGAAAAAAAATTTTAGTGATTGGTGATGGATGCTAACTAGACTTACTGTGGTGCTCATTTCGCAACATATAGGAATATTCAATGATGTTGTACAACCTAAAGCTAAGACAATGTTATATGTCGAGTATATCTCACTTCAAAAAGTTAAAAAATTCCTGGTATTTTTTTTTAATTCCCTTTCTTTACAAACGTTCTGTTTGCACCCTTTTAGCCCTAACCTCGCCCCATTTACTTGTCCGTTTTGTCCCCCCACTTCAGCCCCTATTTCCTTTCCATCCGTTGGAGAGCCAATTGCCTTCTCTCCCAACCCTTTGATTCCTTGGTTGTTTCCCACTTCCTTCCCTTCTCCCGGCTTTTTTTACAGGCGTGTGTGGGAGTCTTCTAGAATTCTTTGCACTTTACTCCCTTAACTCTGCTCCTTACTCTTTCCTCGACCTTTGGTCGCTCAGTTTACCTCTTTTCTTGCGGCCTCGGACGCCCACAGGCCCCTGGCCTTTTCGTTGTTTCATGACGAGCCAGAGCTTTTCTTCACCGAGTTCCCGCTCCAGCACCTAAGTTGTAGCCTCCCGCCATCCCTTCCCAAGGCGCCTGCGTTCCCCGGCAACCGGAGCCGCCGGGCAGCCTGGGAAGCAGGAAGAAGGGGCTCTTCCGGTAACAGTCTGCGAGAAACTGTGAGAAGGAAAAGCGCCAAGACCTCTTCCCGCAAATAGACTACAACACCCAGCATGCCCTGCTAAACTACCTCTGCGAGATTTGACGCTATCGCCTCCAGCTGCGCAAGCGCAAAGGGATACGCCCTTTGAGGACTTCATTGCCCAGGGTGCATTGCCTTTAGGAGCGCTTGTCTTTCCGGCGAGGGTCGATGAGGTCTCCGCTTGGGGCCCGAGAGATCCGTAAACTCCGTTACCCAGCTTCCTTTGTGGAGGGCTGTTGCGCACTTCCGGTGGAAGCGCTGAGGAGCGGGGGTGGAGTTTACGGAGCCGGTGGGCGGTGGGCGGTGCTGCCGGTAGCTGGGTGCTGTCCAAAGGCTCTGGGCGTCGCTAGGGGAGCGAGCTGTGACCGGCTGGGCCGCACTTAGCGTGGGACGAAGCTTAGGCTACTGTTTGATTACCTGAGGCCTTCCCCTCATGTCGGCCCTCGAGAAGAGCATGCACCTCGGCCGTCTGCCCTCTCGCCCACCTCTCCCCGGCAGCGGGGGCAGTCAGAGCGGAGCCAAGATGCGAATGGGGTACGTGACCCATACCCCTTCCCCTAGAGGCCAGGCCCCGGCCATTGGAGAATGGTGTCTCTGGGCGTTTAGCGCGGCATGTCAAGGGAAGCTAAGGATGGGAGAGAATATTGGCGGCGGCCTGGAGACGTTTAGATGGTGTTGAAGGCGGATTTGGGAACTAGGGGAGGCGCCAAGTCAATGGAAATTGGAGGACAAATAGTATTGAAGGAAGGAGGGAATGAGGCAAAGATTGAGAAAGCTGAGAGGATTATTTAAGAGAAGTAGGAGGCACCTTCAGAATAAGTGATGGAGAAGGTTTGAGGAAAGGTAGTAGAGGTGACAAAAATCGGGAATATCTATCGGGGATGATTGAGGGACATGGGGAATGACTGAGAAAAGTTGAGGGGAATTAGGGGAACAACTAGGGAAAGATTTGGGAGTAGTAAAAAGACTAAAAGAGCTAGATATTAGAAAAGCAGAGGGAGGGATGCCTGCCTGGGTGGCTCAGTTGGTTAAGGGTCTTCCTTCGGCTCAGGTCATGATCCCAGGATCCTGGGATGGAGCCCACTTGGGGCTTTCTGCTCAGCCGGAGCCTGCTTCTCTCTCTCCCTGCTGCTCCCCCTGCTTGTACTCTCTGTCAAATAAATAAGATTAAAAAACAAAACAAAACAAACAAAAACAAAAACAAAACTCTTAAAAAAAAGAAAAGAAAGGCTGAGGGAATTGAGAACATCTGAGGCAGGGTTGAAGGAAAGAAAACTAGGGAGCAGAAGGTTCTAGAGAGAGTTCCTAGGGGTGTTAAGAGGCAGATTCAGGGAGTGAGGGGATGATTAGGAGATTAGGTCTCTTAGGGGAGACCTGAGAAAGTTTGAAAACAGGGCTGAGGAAGATGGAGAATATAGCTAAGTAGACTGTTAAGGGTAATAGGATCGTGCTAAGAAGTGAGGGTAGGGAGTAAGGGGAGGAGTGATGAGGTGCTTAGAGAGTGACCATGGGCTCTAGAGGTGGAGAAAAGACTGAGAACAGGGTTTAGTGAATGAAAGTGCTGCAGAGGTAAGGTAGGGTAGCTTAAAGAGGATATTTGGGTAGTTGATTTTGCCAGGCAAAGTCTGATGGAAGGTATATACTGGTTTAAGAAGACTCAGAATTGATGAAGCATTCAGAGTAGCCATTTAAAATGTTTTAGGGAAAACCATTTACTAGGAAAGGAGGAATTGTGTTGAAGAGATAGGTTTGGGGAGTTTTAGGTTGTTGAATGGCTTGTGCCAGATTAGGGGGTACTCAGGTATAGGAGAGAAGGGTATGAGTTGATCATGGGAGAGGTAATTACTAGGAAGCAGAGGGAATTGAATAGGCAGGTTTTTTTGAGGGGTATTTGTAGTATCAAGTGGTATTCTGAAGACTAGTAACTAAAGAGAAAAGGGATAGGAAGAATATGTATGAGGTAGTTAAGAGGGTGTGTTTGGAATTCTGGAGATGGGTTGATATACTTGGAATAAAGACTAGAGAGGAGAAATCTTAGTTTTTAAAGAAGTACTATGTACAAAAACTGATCAAAAAGGAGATGAGGACAAGAGATGCAGTACTGTGAAAGAAGGTCCTTGGAATAAAGAGAAAGAAGATTCCCATAAATTAAAACAGTAGGGTAGAAAGGTGGTGAGAATTGAGGGGGCTGGGTTTGAAAAAACCAGGGGAGGAAATTAAGGATTGGAGACCTGACTATGATACACAGTAGAAAGGTGAGAAAATCTTAACAGAAGATAGGTGCTGGATGCACAACGGAAAGAAACAGTAGAAGGCCTCATACAAGGTGTAAAACGGAGATTGTTTTGGCTTTAGATGACAGAAAGGTAAGACTGTAACAGGAATAAGGAGGATCTGGAAACTGATCCATGATAGATTATTTGGGAAAATTAACCTGGAGTATAAAAATAAATGTACCATTTATCATTGGTATGTTTCTTAATTGCTGCCTTTCTTAAACTAAAATTTGGTCCTTTAGTATACCAGCACTCTTCTGTAAAAATATATAAAAATATTAACTTTTTAATAACTATATATGCTACAGCTTAGTTTAGAGCTCAGCTTCTCGCTTTGTTGAAACAAGTTCTCTGATGATAAGAACTGAAAAGAAAAATACTAAGAGAAAATGAATAAAAAATCTGCTTATTAGAAGATTGTATAACTGTTGGTAACTTACCCTCTTTAAATAGATGCTTTGGTCTTCTTTGTTAACTGCTTATCCTAGAAAATAAAGTTCCTCAGGGAAATCCTTCTTTATAATATTGTGAAGAGAAGAGCTATGTTGGTGAATTTTATTTAAGTGGCTTGTTTTCATATATTTTTCTTTTCTGTTTCCTTATTGGAACATTGGCAGGCCTCAGCTGAATCTAAAGTTAGTGGTAATACAGACTCTCTCCCTGCCCTGGAAAGAGAGCTTTCATTTGAAATGATCTCATGGCACTATGGTAAGAAAACCATTCAGAGAATTCTGTATTCTCTAAGGTAAAAACTGAGGCAGGGGACAATATTTTTTGTTAATAAATAAGAAAACAAACTCAGGGTGCCTGGGTGGTGCAGTTGGTTAAGTGTCCAACTCTTGGTGTCAGCTCAGGTTGTGATTTCAGGGTCCTGAGATGGAGCCCCAAGTTGGGCTCCACACTCAGTGTGGAGTCTACTTGAGATTCTCTTTCCCTCTACCCCTCTTGCTTGTTTGCGCTCTCTCTCTAAAATAAATAACTAAGTCTTTAAGGAAAAAAAAAAAAGAAAAATCAAGTCTTCTTCATACTAAGGCAGTAGAAGCTTAATGGTAGGGCCACTAACAACTAAGACTTGAGTCTCTGAGACCCGTTATGTTTTTTGGATTCATAGTTGTTATCCCGGCCATACTTAATTTTGACTCGTGCATCTTATTTCTTTCCAAATACACTAACATTCAGCCTTTTGCTCAGTCTTGATTTATGAAGTCTCACTTTAACCAATTTTAAAACATCCTTCTTTATTTCTTCTTCTGTTCATTCATTTCATTTTTCTTACCTACCCATCTTTTTCGATTCTCCCATCTATCTCTTACTTCAAGTTGGACCTGTTCCTTGGAATAAAGACTAGAGGAGAATGTCTCTTACATGACTTACTCTTTCAACTCTTTCAATTCATAATCTCTGGCCTTTAATTTCACTAAGCCTTATTTAAATGTGTTTGCGTATTCAGGGTGGTTTTGAGTTTATGATTTTTCTTGAGTTTCCATAATTTAGTTTTTCAAATTAGACTTAAGTAATTCCAGAATATTTCTAGATAATATAGTAATAACAATTACTTTCTTTTTCCAGGTAGGTACTTTGTGTCAGTCATTGTGGTAATAGCTTTATGTATGTTACTTAATTTAATCTGCTCACAGCCTTGGAAGGTAGATATTTCTCTGCGTTTATTAGTAAGGAAATTCAGACTTGAGATTAAAGGTCACCCAACTAGTATGTGGCAGAACCAGGATTAAATTTACGTTTTTAGATTAAAGGTCACCCAACTAGTATGTGGCAGAACCAGGATTAAATTTACGTTTAGTCTCAAAACACCACACTTGTTTTTTGCATAAGGCCTGAAGTCCTGGTTTCAGTATTCCTTGATAGAATCCAGTAGATGACGCCAAAAACAGTGGTTTTGACCTTTTTTTATTAAAGATTTTGGAGCTGCTTTGGTTTGTGATTCCGACTTGTAAGTGGTATCTTAGTCTGTTAGCGTTGCAGTAACAAAAATACCATAGATTGGGTGGCTTGTAAACAACAGAAATGTTATTTCTCACATTTCTGGAGGCTGGGAAATCCAAGATCAAGCTGCTGAAAGATTCCGTGTCCAGTGGGGACCGCATGCTGGTGCATAGATGGCAGTCTTCTTGATCTGTCCTCACATGGCAGAAGGAGGAGGGAAGCTCTGTGGCATCTGTTTTCTAAGGGCACTCACTAATTCCATTCTTGAAGGCTATACTCTCAAGATCTCATCACCTCCCAAGGCCCCACTTCCAAATACCATCACATTAAATGTTAGAATTTAACAAGAATTTGGGTTGGGGAGGTGGGATGGAGGATCACAACCATTTAGTCTACAGTACCTGAGTGTTCTTGAGAGGAGTATGTTTTGAAAATCACTGCTTTAGTACATGTTACCATTAGAGAGACTATACAGATTTTTAAAACCATTCATTTTCAACATGTTTTTGGTTTATCAATAGTACTACATTGCTGTAATCTCTTAACATTTCTACAGTACTTTAACTGGAAGATATATTAGTGCCTTTCTGTATTATTTTATGAGACATATTAAGGCAGGAATTAATATTTTCTCTTAATGAGAAAATGAAAATGTTCTTTGACTTGCCTAAAACACAGAATCATCAAATGGCAGAAACAGGATTCAAACCCAGACTTCAGATTTTTAGTCCATGGTTGCTCTTGTAATACCTTGGTGTAGAAATTGTTGTTTAAAGTGATATAGATCTTCAAAAAAAAAGGTGATAAAGATCTGAGTTTGAAGTCCAGCTTGTGTATTTACTTTGGTCAAGTCATTTAACCTCACATAGTCTTTGTTTTCTTTTAATTTCTGCTGTCTTTAGAGTTCTGTGAGAATGAAATAATACATGCAAAGCACTTATGCTTCCTGACACACAAGCTCTTAAGGAATGACAACTGGTGAATTATTTTATATTGAGAATGGTGAGAAAGGCTTATTCTTTATAAAGTAGAAGCTCTCCTTTCAATTTCTTGTAATGTCAGCTTTTTCCTTGTAAGCTGTATATTACTCGTATCTGATTAGATAGTCTTCATTCAACGTCTTAAATTTATAATGGATATCAGGCCTCTTAGGAAGCCTTTAAGGAGCTATTCAACAAATGGAGAAATAAAGGACAAAGTGAAGTGACTTGCTCAAGCTCATATATTGAGTTACAAATCCTAGCATCTCTGTTTTTGTTGCTTATTAGGTTTTTAAATATTGAAGTTGTTATTAAAATCAGTAAGTTTATTGGT